CGCGGTGAGAGTGACACAGACAAAGAGTGACGCGGTGAGAGTGACACAGACAAAGAGTGACGCGGTGAGAGTGACACAGACAAAGAGTGACGCGGTGAGAGTGACACAGACAAAGAGTGACGTGGTGAGAGTGACGCGGACAAAGAGTGACGCGGTGAGAGCGACGCAGACAAAGAGTGACGCGGTGAGAGTGACGCGGACAAAGAGTGAAGCGGTGAGAGTCACACAGACAAAGAGTGACGCGGTGAGAGTGACGCAGACAAAGAGTGACGCGGTGAGAGTGACACAGACAAAGAGTGATGCGGTGAGAGTGACGCAGGCAAAGAGTGACGCGGCGAGAGTGACACAGACAAAGAGTGACGCGGTGAGAGTGACGTGGACAAAGAGTGACGCGGCGAGAGTGACACAGACAAAGAGTGACGCAGTGAGAGTGACGTGGACAAAGAGTGACGCGGTGAGAGTGACACAGACAAAGAGTGACGCGGTGAGAGTGACACAGACAAAGAGTGACGCGGCGAGAGTGACACAGACATAGAGTGACGCGGTGAGAGTGACACAGACAAAGAGTGACACAGACAAAGAGTGACACAGACAAAGAGTGACGCGGTGAGAGTGACGTGGACAAAGAGTGACGCGGTGAGAGTGACACAGACAAAGAGTGACGCGGTGAGAGTGACGTGGACAAAGAGTGACGCGGTGAGAGTGACACAGACAAAGAGTGACGCGGTGAGAGTGACGCGGACAAAGAGTGACGCGGTGAGAGTGACGCAGACAAAGAGTGACGCGGTGAGAGTGACGCAGACGAAGAGTGACGTGGTGAGAGTGACGTAGAGAAAGAGTGACGCGGTGAGAGTGACGTGGACAAAGAGTGACGCGGTGAGAGTGACGCGGTGAGAGTGACACAGACAAAGAGTGATGCGGTGAGAGTGACACAGACAAAGAGTGACGCGGTGAGAGTGACACAGACAAAGAGTGATGCGGTGAGAGTGACACAGACAAAGAGTGACGCGGTGAGAGTGACGCGGACAAAGAGTGACGCGGTGAGAGTGACGTGGACAAAGAGTGACGCGGTGAGAGTGACACAGACAAAGAGTGACGCGGTGAGAGTGACGCAGTGAGAGTGACGTGGACAAAGAGTGACGCGGTGAGAGTGACACAGACAAAGAGTGACGCGGTGAGAGTGACGTGGACAAAGAGTGACGCGGTGAGAGTGACACAGACAAAGGGTGACGCGGTGAGAGTGACGCGGACAAAAAGTGACGCGGTGAGAGTGACGCAGACAAAGAGTGACGCGGTGAGAGTGACGCAGACGAAGAGTGACGTGGTGAGAGTGACGTAGAGAAAGAGTGACGCGGTGAGAGTGACGTGGACAAAGAGTGACGCGGTGAGAGTGACGCGGTGAGAGTGACGCGGTGAGAGTGACACAGACAAAGAGTGATGCGGTGAGAGTGACACAGACAAAGAGTGACGCGGTGAGAGTGACACAGACAAAGAGTGATGCGGTGAGAGTGACACAGACAAAGAGTGACGCGGTGAGAGTGACGCGCACAAAGAGTGACGCGGTGAGAGTGACGTGGACAAAGAGTGACGCGGTGAGAGTGACACAGACAAAGAGTGACGCGGTGAGAGTGACGTGGACAAAGAGTGACGCGGCGAGAGTGATACAGACAAAGAGTGACGCCGTGAGAGTGACACAGACAAAGAGTGACGCGGTGAGAGTTACACAGACAAAGAGTGATGCGGTGAGAGTGACACTGACAAAGAGTGACGCGGTGAGAGTGACGCGGACAAAGAGTGACGCGGTGAGAGTGACACAGACAAAGAGTGACGCGGTGAGAGTGACGTGGACAAAGAGTGACGCGGCGAGAGTGACACTGACAAAGAGTGACGCGGTGAGAGTGACGTTGACAAAGAGTGACGCGGTGAGAGTGACGCAGACAAAGAGTGACGCGGTGAGAGTGACGTGGACAAAGAGTGACGCGGCGAGAGTGATACAGACAAAGAGTGACGCGGTGAGAGTGACACAGACAAAGAGTGACGCGGTGAGAGTTACACAGACAAAGAGTGATGCGGTGAGAGTGACACAGACAAAGAGTGACGCGGTGAGAGTGACGCGGACAAAGAGTGACGCGGTGAGAGTGACACAGACAAAGAGTGACGCGGTGAGAGTGACGTGGACAAAGAGTGACGCGGCGAGAGTGACACAGACAAAGAGTGACGCGGTGAGAGTGACGTTGACAAATAGTGACGCGGTGAGAGTGACGCAGACAAAGAGTGACGCGGTGAGAGTGACGCAGACAAAGAGTGACGCGGTGAGAGTGACGCAGACAAAGAGTGACGTGGTGAGAGTGACACAGACAAAGAGTGACGCGGTGAGAGTGATGCAGATAAAGAGTGACGCGGTGAGAGTGACGCAGACAAAGAGTGACGCGGTGAGAGTGACGCAGACGAAGAGTTACGTGGTGAGAGTGACACAGACGAAGAGTGACGCGGTGAGAGTGACGTAGACAAAGAGTGACGTGGTGAGAGTGACGCGGACAAAGAGGGACGCGGTGAGAGCGACACAGACAAAGAGTGACGCGGTGAGAGTGACACAGACAAAGAGTGACGCGGTGAGAGTGACGCAGACGAAGAGTGACGTGGTGAGAGTGACACAGACGAAGAGTGACGCGGTGAGAGTGACACAGACAAAGAGTGACGCGGTGAGAGTGACGCGGACAAAGAGTGACGCGGTGAGAGCGACGCAGACAAAGAGTGACGCGGTGAGAGTGACACAGACAAAGAGTGACGCGGCCAGAGTGACGTAGACAAAGAGTGACGCGGCGAGAGTGACGTAGACAAAGAGTGACGTGGTGAGAGTGACGCGGACAAAGAGTGACGTGGTGAGAGCGACACAGACACAGAGTGACGCGGCGAGAGTGACGTAGACAAAGAGTGACGCGGTGAGAGCGACGCAGACAAAGAGTGACGCGGCGAGAGTGACGTAGACAAAGAGTGACGTGGTGAGAGTGACGCGGACAAAGAGTGACGCGGCGAGAGCGACACAGACAAAGAGTGACGCAGACAAAGTGTGACGCGGTGAGAGTGACACAGACAAAGAGTGACGCGGTGAGAGTGACGTGGACAAAGAGTGGCGCGGTGAGAGTGACACAGACAAAGAGTGACGCGGTGAGAGTGACGTGGACAAAGAGTGACGCGGCGAGAGTGATACAGACAAAGAGTGACGCGGTGAGAGTGACACAGACAAAGAGTGACGCGGTGAGAGTTACACAGACAAAGAGTGATGCGGTGAGAGTGACACAGACAAAGAGTGACGCGGTGAGAGTGACGCGGACAAAGAGTGACGCGGTGAGAGTGACACAGACAAAGAGTGACGCGGTGAGAGTGACGTGGACAAAGAGTGACGCGGCGAGAGTGACACAGACAAAGAGTGACGCGGTGAGAGTGACGTTGACAAAGAGTGACGCGGTGAGAGTGACGCAGACAAAGAGTGACGCGGTGAGAGTGACGTGGACAAAGAGTGACGCGGCGAGAGTGATACAGACAAAGAGTGACGCGGTGAGAGTGACACAGACAAAGAGTGACGCGGTGAGATTTACACAGACAAAGAGTGATGCGGTGAGAGTGACACAGACAAAGAGTGACGCGGTGAGAGTGACGCGGACAAAGAGTGACGCGGCGAGAGTGACACAGACAAAGAGTGACGCGGTGAGAGTGACGTTGACAAAGAGTGACGCGGTGAGAGTGACGCAGACAAAGAGTGACGCGGTGAGAGTGACGCAGACAAAGAGTGACGCGGTGAGAGTGACGCAGACAAAGAGTGACGTGCTGAGAGTGACACAGACAAAGAGTGACGCGGTGAGAGTGATGCAGATAAAGAGTGACGCGGTGAGAGTGACGCAGACAAAGAGTGACGCGGTGAGAGTGACGCAGACGAAGAGTTACGTGGTGAGAGTGAAACAGACGAAGAGTGACGCGGTGAGAGTGACGTAGACAAAGAGTGACGTGGTGAGAGTGACGCGGACAAAGAGTGACGCGGTGAGAGCGACACAGACAAAGAGTGACGCGGTGAGAGTGACACAGACAAAGAGTGACGTGGTGAGAGTGACACAGACGAAGAGTGACGCGGTGAGAGTGACACAGACAAAGAGTGACGCGGTGAGAGTGACGCGGACAAAGAGTGACGCGGTGAGAGCGACGCAGACAAAGAGTGACGCGGTGAAAGTGACACAGACAAAGAGTGACGCGGCGAGAGTGACGTAGACAAAGAGTGACGCGGCGAGAGTGACGTAGACAAAGAGTGACGTGGTGAGAGTGACGCGGACAAAGAGTGACGTGGTGAGAGCGACACAGACAAAGAGTGACGCGGCGAGAGTGACGTAGACAAAGAGTGACGCGGTGAGAGCGACGCAGACAAAGAGTGACGCGGCGAGAGTGACGTAGACAAAGAGTGACGTGGTGAGAGTGACGCGGACAAAGAGTGACGCGGTGAGAGCGACGCAGTGAGAGTGACGCGGCGAGAGCGACACAGACAAAGAGTGACGCAGACAAAGAGTGACGCGGTGAGAGTGACACAGACAAAGAGTGATGCGGTGAGAGTGACACAGACAAAGAGTGACGCGGTGAGAGTGACACAGACAAAGAGTGACGCGGTGAGAGTGACGCAGACAAAGAGTGATGTGGACAAAGAGTGACACAGACAAAGAGTGACGCGGTGAGAGTGACGCAGACAAAGAGTGACGCGGCAAGAGTGACGTAGACAAAGAGTCACGTGGTGAGAGTGACGCGAACAAAGAGTGACGCGGTGAGAGCGACGCAGTGAGAGTGACACAGACAAAGAGTGACGCGGTGAGAGTGACACGGGCAAAGAGTGACGCGGTAAGAGTGACGCAGACAAATAGTGACGCGGCGAGAGTGACGCGGACTAAGAGTGACGTGGTGAGAGTGACACAGACAAAGAGTGACGCGGTGAGAGTGACACAGACAAATAGTGACGCGGCGAGAGCGACACAGACAAAGAGTGACGCAGACAAAGAGTGACGCGGTGAGAGTGACGCAGACAAAGAGTGACGTGGACAAAGAGTGACGTGGACAAAGAGTCACGCGGTGAGAGTGACGCGGCGAGAGTGACGTAGACAAAGAGTGACGCGGTGAGAGTGACGCGGACAAAGAGGGCGAGGGAGGCGTGAGTGACCGTGAATTGGGAAATCTACATTACTAAACGTCTCCACCCTGAAATGCGCAAATTGGCGTCAAGGGAAAGACATTCTCCTGCACCGGTATCCCTCGTCAAACGAACGTCCGTCGTGATTTATTTTATTTTATACCTACGTGACTTTACAGAAAGAACCAAAGAGTATGAACGTCCGGGGTTTACGAAATTTCGCGTAAACGCAGTCGACAAATTGTGGAAACTTTTCGATCATCGAAACAGAATTTCCGCGTGAAGGAAATGTGACCTGTGCACGCGCCACGCGATCATCGAACAAGAAGCAGCCGGGAGACTGCGGCGTCATCCAACAGCGGACAGCGTCACGGTGTCCCTGCAGTGCAGCGGTGTCGCCTCCACGTCGCCTTGCCAGTCACGACAACATGCGGCAGAGCTCTTGGGGAGTTCCCTGAAAAAGTGAATAATTTTTTGTTCTAAATTAACAATTTTTACAATCGTTTTCATATTTACGTCTATTGATATTTTTTTGTGTTGCGACACGTGATACAGGTGTATATTTATACGTTAGGAATAGAGTTGGAATGACTGTCCGAAACACATCCCTCATTTTTAGTGTTACATTAACGAGGAAAGCCATTCCGATTTACGACATTTCGTTTCGCGCGTGTTTTTGTTTTTTGCCGAACACATCCCTTTCGTAAATCGAGCGATGCCTGTACGTCTTATCTCGGGCGGCAATATCACTGGGACCGTTCCTGCTGTGGCCAAGCACTACCTGCCGAGAATTCGACGCAAGTAGAATTACCTTCCCGAAGTGGAACGCGCTTGTGTGTGTGGGCCAGGGAGACAGACTCACAAGCATCGTCTCTGGGACGACGAGCTGAGTGCGAGCGGAGAATGCCACGACTCAACTCCAGTCCACCTTCGCTCAGTGCGAGCGAGCTCATTCTCCTCTGCTGCCCCCTTGGTTTGGAACTTCTCTGCCCCCAGCCGTCCGTGCTGTCGACTCCATGCCCCCTATTAAAGTCCAGGGTCCAAGACGTTTTCTTCTCCTCTGCCTGTCAGTGACGTGTGACGCGGTAGCACGGTTGGCTGCGTAACGGCGTGAAAGAAGTCGAGTCGCTGTGTGCATTCCCGCATTGCGTTGTGATGTCGAGTGGGGTGACATGGTGAGAGTCGCGGTGTGAATTCCCGCATTGCGTTGTGATGTCGAGTGGGGTGACATGGTGAGAGTCGCGGTGTGAATTCCCGCATTGCGTTGTGATGTCGAGTGGGGTGACATGGTGAGAGTCGCGGTGTGAATTCCCGCATTGCGTTGTGATGTCGAGTGGGGTGACATGGTGAGAGTCTCTGTGTGAATTCCCGCATTGCGTTGTGATGTCGAGTGGGGTGACATGGTGAGAGTCGCGGTGTGAATTCCCGCATTGCGTTGTGATGTCGAGTGGGGTGACATGGTGAGAGTCGCGGTGTGAATTCCCGCATTGCGTTGTGATGTCGAGTGGGGTGACATGGTGAGAGTCGCTGTGTGAATTCCCGCATTGCGTTGTGATGTCGAGTGTGGTGACATGGTGAGAGTGGAACCTTTAGCTCAGACATGGACTCTGCAGTGATCGTGGGACGTGCCAGGGCGTGGTGAGCAATGTCGAGGTGTGGTGGCGTTAAGCGGCATGACTCCGTTCCTCTTGATTGCCATAAATCTCCTTCCTGAGTGGGCCACCACTCGAGTTTCCTGCAACCCTTCAATCTCAGCCCCCTCCTCCCCCCCACCGCCTTCCCCAAGTAACGAGAAGCGTCGTGGCCCACAGGTCGCACATTGCTCACGACTGTGAGCGGTGTGGGTCCTCCGTGCTAAGATCTCATTAACGTTACGGGTTCACCGTGGCCTCTGGTTGCATATCGAGTATTCAGCTTCTCTGCCACATTGCCCGTCAGCCCGGGCGCACGTTAATGCGGTGCTTCCTAGTGCATGAGCTAATTTTATTTTCGTTATTCGCAAGTAAATAAATAATCGTGGGTCTAAATGAAACGGCACCCTCAAGGGTTTTTTTTTCGGGAAGACCTGGACGCAAAGCCTGCCTTGCATTTGCAGCTGGAAGTGTGTTTACGCTCTGATGCTGCAACGTCGTTGGTTTGCTTTTACTGCGCGTGGTACTTTTAGTAAGAGCAGTGGCCACGTAAGGCCAGCGTCGCCGACGCATCTGCGCATCGCCTCCTTCCTTCTGCCCGGCCGAACAAGTGTCACAAGTTATGGACTTGTGGGTAGTCGTGGGGGCTCAACATTGCCAGCATAGATAGGAGGGCAGTGAATTATTCTTCTTAATACACGTGGAGGTAGTCGAGTGGAACTTTGTTCGCACCGTACGCAGACAACAGTGCTAATCGGATGTGTGGCGGAAGGGCAACAGACTAAACACAAAGGCATGTGTAAATGTACAGGGTGCAAGCTCGCCTTCATTTATAACGAGGTAAGAGCCCAATGGCAGATGGCCAAATCACCCATAACGAGGCTGATATCTTCTAATCTCAGACGCCAACAGAGTTGAGCCTCGACAGGTATTGTGATGGGTGACCACCATGGATTTTAGGTCGTTTGTTACGATACGCAGGAGGTCGTGGGTTCGATCCCGACCCTGACGCCTGCTGTATATTTGGAGTTTGCTTGTTCTCCCCGTGGTGGCGTGGATTTTTCTCCTGGTTCTCCGGTGTTTCCCTCGACATTTAGAATGAACATCACGCGTTTAGAGTATTTTTGCTGCTATCAATGTCCGCATGATGCTGGTAAGCCACTTTGCCGAGCTGTCATTCGTGGCCAGGTCGCTTCTGATAAAATAGCCACGCAGCTCAGTGGGGCTTTACCTGGTATAATAAAATAAATAGTTTAGTCTTAGTTTAGTTTGTTGTGGGCAGCGGACGGCAGTGCAGGAAGTCCACGGTTCCACTGTACCTCGCTTCGTACGCACACCGAGCGACGCTGGCCGGCGTGGTTCACGCACGTCGACCTGATGAGGGCTCAACGACCCATGACGGCTGCGTTGGCGATGCCATTATCGGGCGGCAGATCGATGAAGGAGAATCCACACTGAGGCCAGGAACCACCACCCTGTTTTACTTCGGGGCGCTAAAACACAACAGGGTCCACCCTCGGTATTGCCGGCGGTAACGAGGAGGAGACGGGGGGGGGGTGCAGGTCACGCGACGCACTAACAGGGCAGATGTTTTTTTGATGGACAACATAAACCATTTTGGAAGAGTAAACGTATCGACTTTTAGTGCTGCCAGATGGGTGTCGGTGGGCCAGGAGTGCAACGCCCGTGCGTTTACCCTGCGGCTGTTGTAGGACGGGACTGAATATAATAAGAATGTTATTTATAACGCGCAAGCTATTTGACCGGCATAATTGACGGCGATTCCGAGACGTGGAGCCAAACTAAGTGGCGCTCGAGGGTCAGCCGAGCGAGGAGGCTGGGGGCCGTGAAGTGTCTCTTAGAAGTCGGCGTGGCTTGAACGCCGCCGCCGCCGCTGCTGCTGCGAATGTGCAGTGGGGCTGATGGCCGCGTTACAGATGGAGGGCGCCGCAGTGGTGAGATGTTCACTACCTCGCCTGGTACACAGGAGGTCGTGGGTTCGACCCCGACGCCTGCTGCTGTATGTTTGGAGTTTGCGTGTCTCTCTCTCATCATCATCACGGTGGCTAGGAGATGTTAACTACCTCACCTGTTACACAGGAGGTCGTGGGTTCGACCCTGACGCCTGCTGTATGTTTGGAGTTTGCGTGTCTCTCTCTCTCATCATAATCACGGTGGCTAGGGGATGTTCACTACCTCGCCTGGTACACAGGAGGTCGTGGGTTCGACCCCGACGCCTGCTGCTGTATGTTTGGAGTTTGCGTGTCTCTCTCTCTCATCATCATCACGGTGGCCAGGAGATGTTAACTACCTCACCTGTTACACAGGAGGTCGTGGGTTCGACCCTGACGCCTGCTGTATGTTTGGAGTTTGCGTGTCTCTCTCTCTCATCATCATCACGGTGGCTAGGAGATGTTAACTACCTCGCCTGTTACACAGGAGGTCGTGGGTTCGACCCTGACGCCTGCTGTATGTTTGGAGTTTGCGTGTCTCTCTCTCTCATCATAATCACGGTGGCTAGGGGATGTTAACTACCTCGCCTGGTACACAGGAGGTCGTGGGTTCGACCCCGACCCTGACGCCTGCTGTATGTTTGGAGTTTGCGCGTCTCTCTCCCCGTGGTCGTGTGGATTTTTCTCCGGGTCCTCCGGTTTCCCCCTCCACACTTAGAAGCGTGCGTTTAGAGTCTTTGGCTGCTGTAAATCTCCACATAGTGATACGTCACTTCATTGGGCGATCAATTGTGGCCAGGTCGCTTCTGAAGTAAAACGAGCTACAGAGTTCAGTGGGCTTCACCTGGTAAAATAATAAATAGTTTTTTTTATTTGTTACCCGGCAGAGGCCAGGGTCCTTCTGCTTGGTGTACAGTGGAGGAGGAGGAGGAGGCTGCGGATCGCGCTGCTGCTGTGGAGGACTGCGCCCCGGGCTGCATCACATGGGCGACTGGAGTGAAAATGCAGCTTCTCAAAAATTGATGGCTTCATTTCAATGTATCGGCATCTCCAGTTCACTTCGAGACTGCTGATGTGTAACAAGTAACCGATCTTCTTTGGTTCTTTCGGTAAAGTCACGTAGAATGAGAATAAAATAATAAATTGATAAAATAAAATAACACAATAATATTCTCACGACGTTTCGGCCACAACACAAGCGGCCTTCATCAGGTGAAGGGACGAGACTGTCTGGAGGACAGCGCTGGAGTGAAAACTGTCCTCCAGACAGTCTCGACGAGACTGTTCTCCAGACAGTCTCGTCCCTTCACCTGATGAAGGCCGCTTGTGTTGTTGCCGAAACGTCGTGAGAATATTATTGTGTTATTTTATTTTATCAATTTATTATTTTATTCTCATTCTACGTGACTTTACCGAAATAACCAAAGAAGATGAATCCTTGCAGTCACGAAAGCTTTAAATCGAAAAGTAACCCATTACCGCAATCGCATTAACCTTCAAAGTAATCCCGTATTTATTATTAAGACCGTGTTAAGTGTGCCATCAGAGCACCGTTATATTTAGCACACGTTTCGCCTTATGACATAGTCCTCAAGCGTTGGTAGATGGGCAGTGCCAGCGAGCGGTCGGTGAGTGGCGTGAGATTGATTTGTGGCGGCGTTGAGGCCTTTGGGGGGGGGGGGGGGGGGTGCCGCTGGGAATCCCCGTGTGTACCGTGCAGAGCAGTAGCTTCTTCACCTGGGGGGCATCACGTTGCACCTCCTGGCGGTGAGGGATGCCCTTTCTAGGGGTGCGACACACGGACAGATTTTTTTTTTTTAAGGTGAATAATCGAAAACACAAATTATGCACGGGGCACTGTATTACAAACTTACTTCGTTTCACCAAACCGTGGAAATGTTTATTAACATCTTGCATTTGCCTAACGATCGAGAATCAAATGGGGTGCAAGGCTGCGGTGAAGGTCACGAACCACTGGTGTAGAGAGAGAGAGAGGAGAGACCCCTCGACTCGTCTTGGCAACGAAACGCACGGCGGTGAGTAGCGAAAGCGCGCGGGAGAGAGGCCCGCTATTGTTTTGCTTTTCCCTATTTTATTTTTTTAAATTTCTTCCAAAACGATTACACACCAAATTAAAAGGGGGAAATGTTTCGTGTAATCTGATTGGGTTAATGCAAGTCAGCAGCAGCAGCCAATAGCACGTTACCGTAGATAATTGTGAAAATCATACTGCGTGGGCGACCCATTTACAGATGCCCCACTGATTTCTAATTAATGCGCGAGTTCCGTCTCAACAGCTGATTGGAGCGAACAATGTCACGGCGCTGGCTCCACATCAGACACAGGAGGGCGTTTAAATTGATCAACGCGTTGCGCTGAGACTTGGCGAAGGATGCGCAGGGACTTTGAGATGAAACGTTGTTTGTCCCAAAATGTTTCCCCATAGTTTATTATTGTAGCGGGGTATCTATGAATGGATCACCTTTCGTGGCGCGGCTGTTGTACGATGCACGTTGCTGGAACGGTTGCATTGAGGCTACAGCCCATGAGCTAGCGCACCTTGAGGTGCATTGTAAACAGCTCTGCTTTCACAACAACCCTTCCCATGAACAAACTCCAGCGACAAAATAAATATGACTGCTAATAAGTCGAGTTGAAACGAGAATACTTTGCTTGAAACTCGTCGTTTATTTCAAACACAATCGGGACGCAGTTGGCACTCGCGTGTTTGAGGCAGGACGAGTGCGTCTCTACCTCCACCGCTTGCTAGCGTTTGTGTCGATTTGCAAAAAAAATCAAACAAAGTTACGTGAAATGCAGCTTTGTTGTGGCAGAACATTAAAGCTGCATTGTCTCATCCCTCCTGTGTTCCGCCACCACACTGCAGGTAACAACAACAACCCATTCACTCTCACCCACACATTCATCCACTCACTCACTCACCCACTCACCACACTGCAGGTAACAACAACCCACTCACTGTCACCCACACATTCATCCACTCACTCATCACACTGCAGGTAACAACAACAACCCATTCACTCTCACCCACACATTCATCCACTCACTCACTCACTCACCCACTCACCACACTGCAGGTAACAACAACCCATTCACTCTCACCCACACATTCATCCACTCACTCACTCACCTACTCACCACACTGCAGGTTACAACAACAACCCATTCACTGTTACCCACACATTCATCCACTCACTCACTCACCCACTCACCACACTGCAGGTAACAACAACCCATTCACTCTCACCCACACATTCATCCACTCACTCACTCACCCACTCACCACACTGCAGGTAACAACAACCCATTCACTCTCACCCACACATTCATCCACTCACTCATCACACTGCAGGTAACAACAACCCATTCACTGTCACCCACACATTCATCCACTCACTCACCCACTCACCACACTGCAGGTAACAACAACCCATTCACTCTCACCCACACATTCATCCACTCACTCACTCACCCACTCACCACACTGCAGGTAACAACAACCCATTCACTGTCACCCACACATTCATCCACTCACTCACCCACTCACCACACTGCAGGTAACAACAACCCATTCACTCTCACCCACACATTCATCCACTCACTCACTCACCCACTCACCACACTGCAGGTAACAACAACCCATTCACTGTCACCCACACATTCATCCACTCACTCACTCTCACCCACACACCACACTGCAGGTAACAACAACAACCCATTCACTCTCACCCACACATTCATCCACTCACTCACTCACCCACTCACCACACTGCAGGTAACAACAACCCATTCACTGTCACCCACACATTCATCCACTCACTCACTCTCACCCACACACCACACTGCAGGTAACAATAACAACCCATTCACTCTCACCCACACATTCATCCACTCACTCACCCACTCACCACACTGCAGGTAACAACAACCCATTCACTCTCACCCACACATTCGTCCACTCACTCACCCACTCACCACACTGCAGGTAACAACAACCCATTCACTCTCACCCACACATTCATCCACTCACTCACTCACTCACCCACTCACCACACTGCAGGTAACAACAACAACCCATTCACTCTCACCCACATATTCATCCACTCACTCACTCACCCACTCACCACACTGCAGGTAACAACAACCCATTCACTCTCACCCACACATTCATCCACTCACTCACTCACCACACTGCAGGTAACAACAACCCATTCACTCTCACCCACACATTCATCCACTCACTCACCCACTCGCCACACTGCAAGTAACAACAACCCATTCACTCTCACCCACACATTCATCCACTCACTGACCCAGTCACCGCACTGCAGGTAACAACAACCCATTAACTGTCACCCACACATTCATCCACTCACTCACCCACTCACCACACTGCAGGTAACAACAACAACCCATTCACTCTCACCCACACATTAATCCACTCACTCACTCACTCACCCACTCACCACACTGCAGGTAACAACAACCCATTCACTCTCACCCACACATTAATCCACTCACTCACCCACTCACCACACTGCAGGTAACAACAACCCATTCACTCTCACCCACACATTCATCCACTCACTCACCCACTCACCACACTGCAGGTAACAACAACCCATTCACTCTCACCCACACATTCATCCACTCACTAACTCACCACACTGCAGGTAACAACAACCCATTCACTCTCACCCACACATTCATCCACTCACTCACTAACTCACCACACTGCAGGTAATAACCCATTCACTCTCACCCACACATTCATCCACTCACTCACCCACTCACCACACTGCAGGTAACAACAACCCATTCACTGTCACCCACACATTCATCCACTCACCCACTCACCACACTGCAGGTAACAACAACCCATTCACTGTCACCCACACATTCATCCACTCACTCACCCACTCACCACACTGCAGGTAACAACCCATTCACTCTCACCCACACATTCATCCACCCACTCACCCACTCACTACACTGCAGGTAACAACAACCCATTCACTCTCGCCCACACATTCATCCACTCACTCATTTACTCATTCACAACAATTCAGGTCACAACAACTCACTCACTCTCACCCACACATTCATCCACTCACTCATTCATTCACTCATTCACTCACAACAATTCAGGTCACAACAACTCACTCCCTTTCATCCACACATTAATCCACTTACTCATTCACTGACTCATTTACAACACTGCACATCACAACAATTAAATCAATATCACCCGAACATTCACCCACTCACTCATTCAATTACCCACTGACCACACTTCAGGTCGCAATGCTTATCTTTAAACGTATTCCCTCGCACTGCTCCACTTCGGAATTCCTTACCGTCATCTCGCCCCCCCCCCACGCCCAAGCTCTGATAATAACCTCGCTCAATGTCAATCAAAGTGTAAACTCTCATCTAGTATACGTACATGTTGAACTTCTTTCGCACCGTACAAAGCCAACCGTGCTACCTGTAAGAGTGCTGTCCGTTGCTGGCCGCTTGGCGTTCTGGGCCTTGGAACGCCGTGTGCTCAGCATCAGCGATTAAAAGTGACTGCGTGAAGGAATTTATGGGGGGGGGGAGGAGGAGGTTAATTAAAATTCTGGTATGGAATGGCGGCATAATATTCGTGCATGGCAGCAGATTGCGGATTATCGGTAGCAACGTGGAACAGGCTCGGATTCCTCACATTCCTCAGACGAATCCCCACCTCCTTTAAGCCTCGCGCGTTTCATTTGCATAACAATCTCCGCCGCCGGACAGGCTGATACCTGCTGAGCCTGCAGGCCGCTCGCGCCTGACACCCCATCTCTAGCCCATGCTAGGGGGGGAGGGGTGTTTTTGTTGTTGAAATCTCTTCCTCTTACTCTTCCCCCGAAGCCATTCCATTTCTCGACAAGGGGCAAATTCGGCGCTGCCACTGTTGAGTCAAAAAATTCGCATGCGCTCAGTTGTTCATCTGCATAAACATCGTTGGGCCGCTCCGACGATCTCAATAAATGATACGGAGCCAAGGAACTGTCTCCCCGCGCAGACAAGCGAGGATACTGTGCTCATCTCTCTCTCTCTCTGCTGACAGCAGCGAGCCAGTGGTAGCAATTCCTCATTCTCAGGGCAGGAGGCCCAGCATGTCCGTATAGTGACCACCGTTGACAATTATTATTTGTTTTTATTATTTGAATTCGCGCGTACATTGCAATTCATCCTCCGCCTTGGTCTACCTACGGTTGGATGAATGCAATACAAATACCTATCGAGATTCTAAGCGCAAGTTGATTTTAATCACTCTGTGTACATGTCAGATGTCGACTCAGGCATGTCCTTTGCCTCCACCACGGCCCGTCATCCCTTGCCACGACGCGTCCCGACCCAAGCCCGCTCACCTTTCTTAACACGATGCTCTATAAATACAGCTCCTCGTCCCGTCTTTCCAGTCTACACGTAAGTCCCATATCATTAGAAACTTTAAAGGGGAGAATTAAGGGATATTCGTCTCTAAAGAGCAGCGCTGACGCTCGTGGTAGGCCATTGTGAGCGGCACGGTGAGCTTCACTGGAAGTCCACAAGGCCCACGCGAACGGGAACCTGCAGAAAAATGATGAGGACAGTAGCCAAGCATGATTCAAGCTGGCTTGAGGAGCTCTACGCAGCAGGGGTACTCTCGCTGCTGGCTGCAAACGCGTCCGCCCGCTTTGCCCCCTAATGTTCACGAGAGGCGTGAATTAGAAGGGGGAAAGAAAAAAAAATTGTTGCGCTGATGAAAGTAACTCCTAGAAGAGCGGTGAATCACTCTCCGGGCTCCTGGCTCGCGGGGACTTGAGTCAGCCGGGACGTGGTGCGGAGCCATGAATGAATGATTTGTTTCGGAATGGGCAGTCCCAGCCTCAACCCGGAGTGCGTTTGTGTGCGGCCGTTGGAGCAGAACAATTCGCCTCCGCGCGGACGCAGAGTCCGTGACTCGCACACACAAAAAAAACGACGTGGCCCACAACGGCTGCCTTTGTTGGCCCCCATGCCTGGCGAGGACAATTAGTTCCTGATCTTTAATTTGAAGTGCATGACGACTGAGAGAGGAGGAGGGAGGGAGGGAGGGGGGAGGGAGGAAGAGGAGGCAGAAAGGGGAAGGAAAAAAACAAATACGTCGTGGATTAATCAGCGTCGAGAAATAATGGCGATCGGACAATTGATTTTGTAAGTCCGGTGTTAGCTGGCTGCTTTTCTCTTTTAAACGACTTCCGTCGTTAAGGAAATAGTTTTTTTGTGTGTGCGCGTTACCCCGCTGCCCTTCAACACCACCACCACCACAGCACAGGCCAACTGCGGGGCAAAGCTGTGGACTTGAATCTTTAATGAGCGTCGTAATTGCCCGTCATTTGTTCCTTAATAAGCGGTGTTGCCAGATCCGAAGCGTAAAACCTCTGCCTGGTTCAATGTTCGCACCTCCTAGCAGCACGGTTGGCTACGTACGGTGCGAAGGAAGTTCAAGGTGCATACTTCACCATTGTTAATGGATCCCTCGCCAACCAAACAAGCGACATTTCTATTCATATTCTTGGTTCTTTCGGTATATTTTATTATTTTATTGTTTCCCTTCAACGTGACTGTACCGAAAGAACCAAGAATATGAATCACTGCAGTCACGAAAGCTTTAAATCAAGACATTTCTATTGTTAACACTGAGCCAGTGGATACATTCCACATTACCTTGGCGGGGGTGAGTCTCTCCTGTGACATCACCACTGTTAACGCTCCACAAACGCTCGTTGTGTTAACCCCAAAGGAGTGACACGATGAGGTCAACTCTGGGTACGTGAACTTGCACCGTGGTGTTTGTTAGGAGGGGCACGACTGGTGGCATAGTGGTTCACGCACTGGCGTTCGGAAGACGGCGACTTGGCTTCGATTGCCGGTTGCAGGTGGAGTAAGTGCCGAGTGAGGTCTGAACCGACACCCGGTTGCCTCGACTGCCTCACCAACTCGCACCGTGAAAAGTGCTTCACAAAGATCACCGCAGGGAGAATCGTGGACTCATTTAGAGGCCGACCAACCGCGTGAGCAAACCAGGTTTCGGAAAGGTTTCTCTACATTCGATGACGGGCATTAATAATCGGATCATGGAAACGAGAGATGTACACCAACAACCGTTACGCCTAGCAGTTTCAGACTCTGAAAAGGCGTTGAACGCAGATAAAAAAAAGACACGTGCACAAATCAGATGATGTGCATCGATCAACAACCTACTTGCCGTGCTGCTGTATATTGGAAACTACCGAGCCAAATAGCCCGGCTGGATTTATAAATTGGAAAGTGGTCGCAATACGAATGAAAGCAACGCGAATCTGGGGGATAAGTGTTGGGGTTAAGAAAGGTTAAATCCACGTGTAAACTCAACATTCTTCTCGGCTTGTTTAACCAAAAGCGCGGCTCTCAAACCGCAACCAGGTGGCCAAGAGGACCCCGTGATGTTTTTGTCGGAGTGCTGAGCCAGCGCCGCTGAGAGCCTGTGTTTGAATCCAGATAGCCATGTGGAGGTTTAACGAAAAAATCCTCAGTGTAGCGAATTCCTTGTTCAACGCCAGGGTCAATAATGGCCGTTTAAACGTGGGCATCCTGCAAACGCGATCTGATGAATTATCACAATTCGAGGCCCCAATAAACCCATTAGCTGGGCGGCGGTGGTGGTGGTGGTGGTGGTTCACGTCTTTAATCCGGTATTGAAGACGAGGATTGGTGGATCACACAAATGTTTCAAAACTCCCTTCTCGGGCAGAGTCCGTGGTGTCACGTGCCGGCTCGCCAGGAGAAGGCGGTACAGCAGAAAATGCTGACTCCACCTGTTTCATCGGCGTGGGATAGAGTGTTTCCCCCTCACACGCGTGTGCGTGTCCGCCACGCGCTCCGGTTTCCTCCCATGTGTATGAACACTCATTAATTGGCCGACACCATCTTAATAAATAAAGGACTGCAGAGCTTGGGCAATTTATTGGCTATCCTCGTGGCTGATTTTCCGCTTGTCTGTGGTTCTACAAGAGTCAGTGAATACCGTGGAACATTGCACGTTTATTTTCTTCTCCGTTATACATTTCCACGTGATGCTAAGCCACTTTGTTGAGCTATCATTTGTGGCCAGGTCGCTTCTGAAAAAGAGCTGTACAGCTTGGTGGTAATTACTTGGTAAAATAAAATAATAATAAAATTTTGATTAGTTGGGAGTGCTGGTCACACCGACTGTAGGTCACACCGACTACAGGTCACACCGACTGCTGGTCACACCGACTGTAGGTCACACCGACTGTAGGTCACACCGACTACAGGTCACACCGACTGCAGGTCTCACCGACTGCAGGGCACACCGACTGTAGGTCTCACCGACTACAGGTCACACCGACTGTAGGTCACACCGACTGTAGGTCACACCGACTACAGGTCACACCGACTGCAGGTCATACCGACTGCAGGTCACACCGACTGCAGGTCACACCGACTGTAGGTCACACCAACTGTAGGTCACACCGACTGTAGGTTATTTGGATTGCTGAGTGGACTTTACCGAGTAAAGTTAAAACGGTTTAGTTTTAATATCTTTATTTTTTTAATAGTGATTTTGCTTACCTTTCTTATAGTTTGCACACCTGTCGGTATTGTTCTTGTATTGATTGTTGTTGTTACTTTCTTGCCCGTCCCTACTGGATATCTGTGAAAAAGAGCTTCATAGCTCATCGTATTTCTCCAGGATAAACACAGATTAAGATTATTAATGAAACAAATGTATCGTAAAAGCTTTAGTCTATCACATGCACGATCCGATGCATGTATCGTGTGCATCATAAAGTCTTCTTCACCCTTTGAATCGATGCAGTGTTACAGCACCAATGAGAGGTGGTTTATTGACCCCCTATTTCAGGGTTAAGCCAGCTGTGAGGGTTAACAGTCGTGAATGTGCGTTGCTTGTTGAGCGTGATTGACATGCGGATAAACAAATCCTTAGGCTGCATGAAGCGGCAGTGTCTCGCTCCGAGTCAAAAAGTCAACTCACTGCCAGCGTATCCCTGCTCCAGCGAGCGTGGCCGTGAGCCAGTAAGTGTAAATTCCACGTTACTATGACAGGGACCAGTGTTTTCATACGAAAACGGAATCGCAGCTCGGCTTTGCACAGCCTCACTCGTTGTTAATGCCTCTCTGGAGGGATTTTTTTTTTGGGGAGTGGGGCGGGGGATGGAATCACGAAGCAAAGCTCTCCTGCTGTGACCCTTGGGTTAGAAACGTGGACACTTGACGAAGATAACCGAAAGAAAAAATCTGGAAAATTGGCAGAGAAACACGAAGAGACGCGTGCTTGGTGGTCGCGCTGCATGAGAAGAGCACGTGGACACATGCGAGATCCATAATCGAGGTTTTTTTGGGGGCGGGTTACATCGCGTAAATATATTAATGTGTCGTTAAAGCCGCCACCACCCGACACAGCCAATTAGTGAGGTTTGTCACGTGAAAAAAATAATGTGCCAATTCGTTACTAGATCAGCACACCCTGTGTGTTGGAGTGTAAACCCACTACAACATTTACAATTTCGAGTGCGACGTTTACAAATCTGGCTGTCGCCTGATGAGGATGGTTGTAATTACTGGCGAAACGTTGTACTCGAATTGTAAATGTTGTGGATTTACTCTCCAACACACCGGTATTGTGTACTGCTAACGAATTGGCATGTTTTGTTTACGTGACAAGGCT